TGGTTGTCAGGATTATAATGTGTAATCGATATATTTAATATATGAAATATTTTTAGTTTTGGATTTTTGATTTAATGGATTGGTTTAATAATGATATTAAAGTTTGACTTTTGAAAAATAGAAACTAATTTAATGAAAATAAAAATTACCCATTACATGATCATCATCCAAACACATAGTAAAAATTAATTTGATATAAATAAATAAATAAATAAATACATAAATGTTTAGAAGAGTTATCAATTTTACATAATTTTATCTTTGGTGGGTAGAAATAATTTTTAAATATTTAAAAATATTTTTTTGACATTTATTTTTATCAAATTAGTTTATATTTTATCAAATTGACGATTTTGTTCTTAAAATTATGCAATAGTATATTCAATTGTCTTTATTTAGAACAAGATTCAAAATTCAGGATCAAATGTGTCACAATTGAAAAATCAAGAATCAAAGTGACACAAACCCCAAACTATAGGGACTGTAGTGTAATTTGCCCTTTATTTTATACATATACACATCCACTACGGGTGCCTCTATTTACACACCACATTTGGTCTCAAGGAACACCATTGCTCTGTTCACACCTTTAATAATTTGAAAAAATATAATTTTTCTCAACACACACCACAACATTTCATTTTTACCCTTAGTCTGACATCACTTAGTACATATCTCAAATTCAAAAAAAAAAAAAAAAAAAAAGCTAACTGTTAGACACTTTGATCATTTTAGGGTTAGGGTTTGGAAGTGTATTCAAGCATGCTTTACAGCTGCAAGTTCTACAACTGCAAAGCATGCTTTGGTCACTTTAATCTGACAACTTCAACATTTAAATATGAAAATATGGCATTGATGATGGCGTTAGGCTAGAAAATTAGAGATCCTTTACCAGTGCTTTAGCCAACATCAAATCTAATGAACTTCTTCCAGTTCTTTCTCTAACCACGGACTTTAGTGAACTCTAAGATAGTAAATACTAAGGTAGTAAAAGCTTTGCACAATGTCAATTAGACGTTGAATGAGTAAGACTGACCAAATTAAAAAACTCAGGAACAAAAATTAGGAGTTTCCTGGCATGCAAGACCAAAAAAAAACAACGGCAGTGACAATGATTTGGGGTTAGGGTTGATGAGGGTTAGGGTTAGGGTTTGGAAGTGTATTCAATTAAGATGTGTATTCAGTTGTGGTTATTTTTAGGGATGGCAATTTATACCCGGCCTGACGGGGACCCGATCCCCTGACCCTGATGAGAATGGTTTTTTTCCAAAAAATACCCCCGTGGAGACGGGGATAGTATTCAAAATTAGAACCCCGATCAGTTTCGGGCCGGGAACGGTGATCAGTGTTCAAGCCCCGGCCCCGAATTTTTCCCGAAGCAAAATTACCATTTTGCCTCTCTATACATATATATAAATGAGTCCGGATCTTCTGCCGTGGTTCCTGCCGTGGTTCCTGCCGTGGTCAAAAACGACGTCGTTTTTGACCAACCCTCTCTCTCTCACCCTCACTCTCACTCACAGCTATGGAGTCTAGGAAGGTCGTGGGTTTGGTCTGGTTTTGATGAAGACAAACCAGACAGCCTATTCGCAGACCAAACCCACAAATCCTCTGCATAAAACCATCTTCAGAGACAAATCATTCAAATTAAAAAAATCAATCCTTGAAAGATTATTCAAAAAATCAATTTTCAGAGACCAAAATAAGAAATTTTCCCTTTCATGTGACTTAGTTTTCTCCAAATCCAAACACACTGAACAGAAAATAAACAGCAAAATCCCATTTTGTAAAGCAAAAAGAATTAGACTTTCCCAAACACATAGAATTTTCAGTGATTAAACAAAAAAATTTTTGGAAAATTCAACTTTCCCATTAAAAAAAAACAGAGAGAGAGAGAGAGAATGGGACGCCATTGTTGAAGCTGTTCAACAACTCTTATGCCCAAATGTCAATATTCTACCTGCCATGAGGTAAAAATAAAAAATTATACTATATATATGAAACCATCCCTATATATATATATATGTGTGTATATATATCTTTATATCCATACAAATCTACAATACATACATACATATATATATATATTACAAATCATAGGCTAAAAAATATAATAAAAAATGTGAATGTATTATCAGATTTGGGTTTGTTCTCTGCATCAAAAGTAACAGGCTCACCGGCTACTATCCCCTTACGATCAACAGTTGCACCATATGTTGATGCTACTAGCCCACCATTTGAGGATTCTGATGAGATGCAACCACCATCGGAAATGCAGAAGGGTGGCATAGGTAAGATCATTGTACTTCATATTTGTCAATTATCATTTGTCATTATTTATAATTTGGTTATTATCATTTTGTTAACAAAGACTTCTAGGTCCACATGTGTACAAGGACGGGGGAAGGAAAATGAAAATGAAAAAAAAAAAAAAGAGAAAATTAGAGATCCTTTACCAGTGCTTTAGCCAACATCAAATCTAATGAACTTCTTCCAGTTCTTTCTCTAACCACGGACTTTAGTGAACTCTAAGATAGTAAATACTAAGGTAGTAAAAGCTTTGCACAATGTCAATTAGACGTTGAATGAGTAAGACTGACCAAATTAAAAAACTCAGGAACAAAAATTAGGAGTTTCCTGGCATGCAAGACCAAAAAAAAACAACGGCAGTGACAATGATTTGGGGTTAGGGTTGATGAGGGTTAGGGTTAGGGTTTGGAAGTGTATTCAATTAAGATGTGTATTTAGTTGTGGTTATTTTTAGGGATGACAATTTATACCCGGCCTGACGGGGACCCGATCCCCCGACCCTGATGAGAATGGTTTTTTCTCCAAAAAATACCCCCGTGGGGACGGGGATGGTATTCAAAATTAGAACCCCGATCAATTTCGGGCTGGAAACGATGATCAGTGTTCAAGCCCCGGTCCCGAAGCAAAATTACCATTTTACCTCTCTATACATATATATAAATCAACCCTCTATATATATATATTATATTTATATAATATAAATCAACCCTTTCACTCACACAAGCTGAACCTCACACTCACACTCACTCATCATCAACGCCTCTCATCTCTCTCGGTCTCCCTCTCTCTAAAATAACTAATTAATGGCATGCTTTGAGATCAAATATGATGTGTAAATAGAGACACCCATCCACTGTGGGAATAATACTCTGCAACAACCTTGCAATCACGATTTGGGAGGGGATTTGGGAGGGGAGGAGTTTTGACAGGAGTGATGCTGTGATGAGAGAAAAAAACCAGAGGAGTTGGATACGCTAGTGAATTTGTATCTGATAATAATTACTCTATTGAATCTGATTCTCATGGTTCTTTGTGAAGGAACCACCCGACGAAGGACCTTTTTCGCGACAAGCATCCTAGACTGTTGTATTCTATTCGTCTTCCACATCTTGCCCCATCAACCACTCATGTTGCATATACGACTTCCAGGGAATCTCTTGAACTGTGTCATCAACGTTTAGCTTGTGTTACGCTGTATTTGATTGGGGAATTTGAGAATGGATTTGGAAATGAAAAAACAAAAACGTTTGTGAAATTATATAAAATATAGGTATATTTTAGTCATATTTTACCTACCTCTTTCTTTTCTTTTTCTAAATTCCTTCTCAAATCCCCGAGCAAAGTTCTGTCTGTTGGCTCCATCCACTACCCACATGGTAATGAGCCCACCATTCACATAGTGTAGGTAGCACCATGTTGTAAAAGAAGGTGGTGGAGGGCTACACCAACTCACTAAAGGAAGATAGTGAGGGTGGCACTACCTTGGCCAATTATGGCTAGCACTTCACCTACTCCTCCTCTCTTGGTTATAAATTGAGATGAGTGAGGAGAGGTTTGTATCATCAGAAATTGGAGAGTGAGAGCTGTGAGTTGAGTGAGTTTCATCTCCTCCTCTGTAATTGTATTTTTGCTCCATTTTAGTGATAATTCTCATTTCTGTCTGTGGATGTAGGTATTGGGCCGAACCACGTAAATATTGTGTTCTCTGTGTGTGTGAGATAATTCTCTGGGTGTCTTTGATCCTAACACTGTCTCAGTTCCTATGCTCTTATTCCTATTTCATGTTATTCCAACAAATTGAAGTCTAAAGTTTGTCAGGGTAGTCAAATTGGTGTACACGTTCAGGCGCCATTTTCACTTTCTGAGTCTCGTTCTAAGCATGTCTTTTCTTTAATTCACTCTAATGAATGGATTTCACTCTTTATCTTTTAGTAGATATCGTTATTATGAATTATTCTTGAATGATTTTTCCAAATTCTGTTGGGTGTTTCCTCTTTGTCGCAAATATGAAGTCTATGAGATCTTTGTCGATTTAAGAAACCACATTGGGAATCAATTCAATGTTCACATTCAGTCTTTTCAAAGTGATGGTGCACGTCAATATGACAATAACAAATTCGAAAAACTACTTACTGACTCTGGTATTTCAGCTTGTCTCTCATGTTCTTACATTCATTAGCAAAATGGTTTCGTTGAACCAATGCATCGCACAATTCTAAATACCATAAGGACTTTATCCTCTGAATTTTGGGTGGAAGCCTTACACAATGCTGTGTATACCCTTATGCTGCGTTTGCTTGGAGGATTTGGAGACGGATTTAGAAATAGAAATGGAAAAGGTGTGTGAAACTAGGTGAAATGTAGATATATTTTATTCTCATTTTACCTACATTTTCTCTTTCTCTTTCCAAATCTCTTCTCAAATTTCCCAACCAAACCCAACTTTAATAATAGGCTTTCCTTGTGCATATATTGATGTAAATAGATTATTGCAATCACTCCTTGTATTTTGGGATTCCATATATTTTAGGATACCCAAATTCTATTACTATATTGTGATTGTGTGATCTCTGTATTCTTTTGATCAGATTGATGGATAATCTGATTTAATATGTTGGTAGAATCAGGTTGGAATTAAGAGTTGGTCTTAAACTGAAAAAAAAAGAAAAAGAAAAAAAGAAAACATCATAGACCGTTTTGCATACAATTTTATTTTTGAGAACCATCACCGCACATTAATACAGCACATAAAGAAAAATAGGGTAGAACATTAGAAACAGGTATAGAAACCCTAGGTTGGATGCTTGATTGTTACAATATATTAGTTGGTGAATATTATTTTCTTTCCATCAAATCCGTACATCAAGGGACTACACCATGCTCAAATTCCACACTCTTCTTTTTTCTTTATCTTTTCTTTTTTGTTGAAGATGAGATAAACTTCTCCACCTTCTCTATAATAGCAAAGAAGTTAGAGATTGATTAACCATATATTATATTATATCTACTCCAAAAGAAGTTGCCTATGGCGGTCGAGGTCACTGAGGTAACTTGCAGAAGTATAGTCTTCCAAGTCAGAATCATCCAAAACCATTGCTCTCCCTCCTACCATAGACCTTTGTTTCAACTCTACTTGTCCCCCCTCACCTCTCAATAGCTGCACAACCTGCATTCACCAACAAAGTCACCTTTTTTCTTAAATCAATCAATCAGATGTGGGGGCTTCAATGGCTTACTGACTGTAAATTAATGATGCTACAAATTGAGAAAAAAAAATAACAGAAAAGTTTCCAGAATGCGTTCAGTGTGACAGCATTGCATTGCATTTGTCTTGGTACCAGCACTGCATTCTGAAAACTTCCTTGAATAAATTTTCTGACAAGTAGAGGGATTTCATACCCGGTTCATGTTTGGGCGTGTACTGGGTAAGTGATGAATGCACGCCAATGCTATTGACATGACACGTTTCATTTCGCCATTGTCGTAAGCATCTCTCAAACTAGGATCTGCAAGGTCATTTACATTGTTTTCTTCCAACAACGGTTTTGCCTATACAAGTACATGTACACTATCAATTAACAGAGATTCCTGATCTAAAAATACAATAGATTTATATTTTTTCTGAGTTTAATGGAAAATAAGATCATATATAAAAAATATAAGTGTCTGACTAAAATGATCACAAAAAGAGGGTAGTAGGAATAGACTATGAACTAAATAAACAGGAAAACTTCTATCACTGTATTACACCACAAAATACACCAAAAGAATTTGTTTTTGTTCGACAAATTCAAATTATTGGGCTAAAAACTTAGAACCACCAGCTCTTTGTTATGTTGATCTTCATTGGAAATTCTTAGTCTCCTTGCAGAATGACTACTAACTTACAATGGTGAATGATGATTTCATTTGCAATGGATGGAATGCTAATTCCTTAACATGAGTGTAGCTTATTTATTCACATATCTGAAGAATCAACTAACACCAAAAAAACATTTCATTTGAATGAATAAGAAGTAAAGAGGACTGCAAAGCCCAAATTTAAAGTATAACCAACTTCGGATATTTCATTTGGGTTATAACCAATTAACATGTCAATCTTCATGTTTAGAAAGATAATTATCTTTAAAAAATTTCTGATGACAGGACTTACTGATTCATATTAAAAATTGGGAGATCAAATTGACATATAGAAATTTAAAGTGTTTGGCAACTAAATCATACCCACATCACAAGGCTTTGTCGACATGAATCAACTGCGTGACGACCGGTTATAAGTTCTAGTAATAGAACCCCAAATGCAAATACGTCAGTCTTCTCATCCACAATTCCATGCATGAAATACTCTGGAGCCATGTATCTGAACCCATTCAAAATTATAGTACATCAATAGCCCACATGTTAATATGATCTGAAAAATAAAATTTGGTTGTGTTTTCATTATTCGTTTCATGATTTCAGAAACAAAACAATGAAAAGTACGAAAACACTCATCATTTTCATGTCTTGGTAAAAAATATAAAATAAAATGTAGAAATTTAATGTATAAAGAGAAATAGAGAATTAACAACATGGTGAACCCATTTTTCTGGGAGCCATTTTGCTAGCCCAAAGTCAGATATCTAAGCACAGCATCAATGGCGTCAGAAAGTTGAATTCATTCAAACCAAGAAAAATACATTGATAGGAAGATGAATGAATCATATATATATAGAAAATTGAAAACCTGAGGTTCATAGTCTTCAGTGAGTAGTATGTTTGAGGCAGTGATGTCTCTGTGGATTATGCGCCTCTGGCATTCACAATGAAGATACTGCAATCCTTCCGCTACCCCAAGAGCAACTTTAAACCTTCTCTTCCAATCCAGTTTCTCTGTTGCACCTGAAATGTTGAATCTCTGTTGTTCAACCTCAAATCGAATTAGTAGTAATTTATACTGCAAAAATAAATGTGTTTCATAGATTTCTATGTTTAGATTATTCGTTTTTAACTTCCCAAAAGTTGCAGCAAAGTGCAGAAAATGCAAACAAAAATAGGGAATGGAAAATGCACCATGGAGGACAGAAGCTAGGCTGCCATGGGGAGAAAATTGAAGGACAAGGTGCAAACCGCCATCAACGCCGAAACCAATCAATTTAGCAGCATTGGGGTGGTTGATGTGAGCGATAATCCCAAGCTCTGACAAGAAATCACCAACTCTATCCTCATCGTTTTTCTCTTTCTTTGTTATTCGCTTCACTGCGACAACTAGGCCATCAGATAAGCACCCTTTGTACACTTCAGCATGACCCCCTTCTCCAATCAACTTCTCTATCAAAATCCAAAATTCAAATGAACAAACAGAAACATGACTTAATAGTATAACTACACTCTTGATAGCAAATGTTGCAAGAGAAGTCAATTGCTGTGGATCTATTCTGTAAAATAAAAATAAAATCAAGTTCACCAGCAAAAGCATGGATGGTTTTTAAATTCACAATTATTCACTTTTAAACTCAACCCTCATTTGGATGTTGATGGAACCTACAAAACCCCTAATATTTATTTGAAACAAGCACTTGAAAGATTGCCAAACTTGGAAATCTTGGTGACATTTTTCTGAAATAGTTGGCAATTGGAATAGTCAAGAGCTGGGGAAATAGATTCATTCCTGCCAAGAAATTAGGGCATTTCGCTGGTTAATCAATCACCAAGTTAGCTAGACATGGTTCATGAGAGGTTTCTCTACAGAAGTGTGTTTAGGTTGTCATATTCAGGCTTGATCAAAGAGCCAGTAAGAAAGGTAAAGAATTGACGCAGCGGAATAAATTACACGAGACTAGATATCGTTCTAGTAGACGAGAATTCTTGAATCCACAAGACCACCCTTAAATCCACAAGGAACATAGAAGAAAAGCTCTTTAAAAATATTATTGAATGAATCAATTATATATGCTTGTACGCTTATTTATAATAAACTAAACCTAATACTCGTAGGAAAAGTGATTCCAAAATAAACTAGGAAACTTAAATCAATACAAATTAAGAAACCTAAGACAACTAGGAAACTTAAGAGACTAAAATTCTAAACTATTTAAAATTCTAGTCAAAATCTAATACTAAAATAATAAAATTAAGAAACCTAATAATTCCAAAATATTTATACTAAATTACAAGAATCCTAATAATACATGAAAAATATTAAAACTAAAAATATAAAAATTCTGAAAATCTTGTCCTGAAAATCTTGTCCTACATCAAGAATCCTGTATCTAAGATCCATGTCTCCCAGCTGCATAAACGTACCTCAAAATTCTATGTTTCGTAATTTTATGCAATTGAAAATTAGATTAAAGAAGGAAAAAAGGTTTTGGAGACAAAAAGATCCCCGGACAAGTAAAAACCCATTGTTGACATCTTCATGGTACCAAAAACAGTAAAACACTATACTACCCAACCCAACTAAAACCAAGTTGGACTGGCTTTTCAAGTTTCAGGTATCCCTAGATTTTTCCATCTAATAAACAAGTGAAATAGTGAGGACCCACCACAATCACTTTCCTGGGACCCTGGGCCTCCATTTCTTTTTCTCAGTCAAAAGTTTAGAAGGAAGTCTTCTCTTCCAACCTCAGCAAGCAGCTTTGAATGATTGTTCTAGCAGAACTGATTGAGACGTTTTCAATCACCACCCCCACCCTCACCTCCTCCAACACACGCAGGGCTGGTGATTGAAGAAGAAGAAAAAAAAATAAAATTGGTCAATCACAACCAGAGAGGGTCATGGGGTGCCTCCTGGGGTCCAAATCATATTTGTTGTTCTAGGTTGATATTCAAACAAAACAAAAAAAAGAAAAAGAAAGGGTAGTTGAAGATTTATACTGATCAGGCATGTAACTTAACTGACACATGCATTTAAGCTCAGTGATAACACCATTCACAAAGTTTACACTTAAATACATTCAGTCAAGAAATACACTTGTTCAGCCTTTTTCTTTCTCTATGATAATAAAATTTTGATATTTAAAACAGGACAACCAATAATAATAATATAATGTGTCACCTCAATTAGTAAGACAAAAGATTTTAAATTTTATTTGTTTGTGTCGGAAATAGTGTAAAATAAGGGAACCCTTTTCCAAAATGAAAGGTCAAAGAACAAGTTGTGATTAGATGGGAACTGTGTGAAAAGCAGAGGTGACCAAAGGACTGATAAGAATATACTGATCTCCCCTAAAAGATTAGCAACAGTGCACTCCTGAAAAGAAAAACAATAAAAATAAAACAAGGCAAAGAAGCAGCTCAAATACTTTGCTTGGTCCCCCATTTTTTAAAAATAGTTTTCAAAAAATTTTATATTTTTATTTTTTTGTGTTTTTTTATTTTTACTGAATTTTTTAAATATTTTATATAATTTTTTTATTTTTTAAACACACCTAACATAAATACACCTAAAAAATTATAAAATTATAAAAAAAATTTAAAAAAAATTCGCTAAATACCAAAAATACAAAAAAAAATACAAAAATTTAGTACATTTTTTATATTTTTATATATTTCTTAATTTTTTAAAATATTTTTTCATAATTTTTTTACTTTTTTGACACATCTAAATAAAATGTATCTAAAAAAATAAAAAAAAAATGTTTAAAATTTTAAAAATATTCACTAAAAACAAAAAAAAAACGAAAATAAAAAAACTCAATTTTTAAAAAACTTAATCCAAAAAACTCAATCCAAAAAACTCAAGCAAACACAGTGATTTGTCTTACCAGGGCTGAAATTATCAGTAGCGTCTGCAAGCTCCTTTTTAGTGAAGTTCCTCCAAGATGGTTTAGGCACCACTATATCGCCACAATCGCTTTCATCATCGATACCCGGACTCAAACCCAACTTCCTTCTCAAATTCTTCCTGGAAATCTCATACCCTCCCAACAATGGAATTGTGGAGAACCGCCTCATCGACTTCCACTTTATGTTGTCAATCAAATTCCTCCAATGCAACCCATTATTCTCTCCAAACAGAGCTCGGTGAACCGTAGATTTCTCTGTCGCCGACGTGCCACAACTGCTATTGTCAGAGTCTGAACCCGAAATAGGAATCTCCAAAACGCCTCTTGGCGAAGACTGGTCATCGCTATCCTCCTCCTGTTTTTCCTTCTCATCATAAGACTCTGTTTCTAGGCTTTCCTTTCCATCCAAAGACTCTGTTTCGGGGCTTCCCTTTCCATCGAAAGGACCTGTTGTTTCCAGTATCTCTTGGGTTTCTACAATTATTTCAAATTAATCAACAAAATAGAGAACAATTCAAGCTGGCTCAGGCACACAAAACCAAAGACATGAATTTAAAATTATTGAAACAAATAGAGCATTAGGAATAAGAGTTACCTTCCATTGAGATTGTCATGGTCTTGTTGGGTTTCCCTCAAATTATTGCAGCTTTTAATTTGTCTCTCCAGATTGGACAATCTAGGTGCATCGCTCCCCTTCTTCTCCTCAGGTGTGTAGAGAGAGAGAGAGAGAGAGAGAGAGAGAGAGAGAATGAGAGAATTGAAAATGGTATATCTTAAGGAGTTAGTTATTCCTTTGAAAGAGCAGAGGGATAACCATCCTTGTGGTGAATAGAATATATGCTATATTTATACACATGGTAGAGAGGGAGAGAGAGGGAGATATCTGCATGTATACACACCCCTTAGTATTGCATGCTTTTATTTTGTGTTTGATTGGAAGATTTAAAAATAATTTAAAAAGAAAAATAGGAAGGCGTGTAAAATTAGATAAAATATAAGTATATTTTATTTACATTTTATTCATATTTTTTCTTTTCTTTTTCTATATTTCTTTCTAAATCATCCAATTAAATCCAATGTTAATATTGTGTTTGGTTAGGAATTTAAAAATGTATTTAGAAAGAGAAAATAGAAAAAATAAATAAAATATGAATAAAATATATTTTCATTAGACCAAATTTCACACATTTTTTTTTTTAAAAATTTCTTTCCAATTTCCTCAACTAAACCCCACTTAGAGGGTTGTTTTGGGAAGATGGTTAAAAGTGACTTTTTGACTTTTAACCAAGCTTTTGGCTGACAAATGATTTGAGAAATTGGTAAAAAGTGACTTTTGACTTTTTTTTATTAATATTTATTTATGATGTCAAATCATAATAAAATGACCAAACTACCCCCATTTATTTAAAATATTTACAACTTCACCTATGTAACACATTTTGACCCGTAAAAGGTAAAATTATAATTTTACCGTTGGCTAAAAACTAACTTTCCAAATGAAAAAAAGCTAAAAAAATCAATTTTTAATTTTTACTATTAATCAAAAAAAAAAGTGACTAAAAATTATGTTGCCAAAATAAGCCGTAATTTTCAACTGATGCAATCTCGGCTGTACTTTTCAACGTTCGTGATTGTTGGCGCAACTACCGCTTAAAGATGGGGCAGACAAGGCCAAATAACTAACCCAACTAACACAAGTGCATCTTTAGTTTTTGTAAAATGTTAGATTTTTTTCTAAATTAAAATCTAAATTTGATTGTTATGTTTGGCTTGTAAGACTTATCACCCAGTTTTGATTTTATGATTTGAATGTTTATATTTATTAAAAAAATTAAATTAATTTGATAATTATAATAATTTTGTTTTATCTGGATACCACAAGTTTCAAATATGATTTCCATGCTTTTGGTTTCTTTACATATTGGGAAAGGAGTGTAAGGGGTGTTTTGGAAAATAGTTAAAAGTTAATTTTTAAATTTTTTTGACTTTTTTAAAAAAATATGTAAAAAATAGAGAGATGATTTGATAAAAAAAAAAGTCAAAACACAAAAATAGCTAAAAAGCCAATCTTTCTAAATGGGTCTAAATTTTGTGGGGTCATATTAAAATACAGAGTCACAAAATAGTGGGTATCATATGTAAGTTCTGAAAATTTTGATATTGATTGCTATCAATGTCACAACTAAATTATTTTTAGTCATAATTAAAAATAATAATAATAAATAATAACCAAATATCACATAAATATAACCAAAAACTTTTTAAAAGATAACCAAAATAATAATCATAATATGTCATAATCAATATCAGAATAAATTGTAACTATCACGACGCTAAGTTATAACAAGTCATGACTATGACCACAATATGTCATAATTAAAAACTACAAATATTGTAATTGGGGTATATGATACACACTTTAAGGCCCCGTTTGTTTAGAGAGTTAGAGGGGGAATTGGGATTGATAGTGGGGTGTGACTCACTAATATTGTGTTTGTTTTGAGAGATGGGGAGGAGATTGATAGTGAACTCCGGATTATGACAGGCCTTCCCAAGGGGATTCGGATGGGCCTCCAGGACTTCATATTAGAAAAATAGTCCGGCGGACTAGAATTTTTTTATTTATTTATTTTTTATTTTATTTTTTACACGTTGGCCATTTTTTTTTTTGAACATTAATATTTAATTTTTTGTTAAGTAAAAATCATTATTTTATTTATTTTATTGTTTTCTAAAATTTTTTTATTTTATTTTTATTTTTTTAAAATTTTTTACATGTTGAATATTTTTTTTAAAACATTAATGTTTAATTTTTTTTGTATTATTTTATATTTACTTTATATAAAAATAATTTGACAATCCCAACACTAACAATTATCATCAAAACAAACACAATTTTACTTAATCCCCTCACTATTAATCCCCTCACTATCAACCCCTTCATTCTATCTCTGAAAACAAACGGGGCCCGAGAGGGATTGGGGGTGGGTGCTGTGACAGCACCCATGCTGTCACACCCTGTATGGTTTATTCCAACTCTATTTTGATAATTTGAACCATTCATATTATAAGATTTGTTAAATATATTATCCTTATAAAAAATGGAATTAATTGAACAAATATAATCACATGATCAAGACGAATAATAACCCTAAAAAATTATTAAAATCATACTAACCGTTTATTTTGTTAAACATAAACGTAGTCTTGTTGTAAGTTACAGATGTCTAATTAACTTGAATTTTTTCATAAATGATTTACTCAACGAATTCTATACTATGAACATTTCAGATCATTAAAATAAATTTAAGACGTGCTTTCACGGACTCACAACACGGTGCTATGCCTATAAGGCACATCACTGTTGTGGGTGTAGAAAGCATCACATGTTTTTGTTCCATTTATGGTAACAAAGTTTTTTTTCTCAAAGTATCCAAATATGAGTGTGAAAGATGGGTTCCACAGCATCTGCATAAGATTTTTCTTTCGGCTGGCAGATTGGTCCAAAGTCACTTGATTGCTCTCTCAATCTACTACCGTACAGACTCACTCGTGAACTTGGTTAGGTTTGATTTTGTTTAACATGTAGTTTGATTCGGTTTGAAATTATGCTATTTAAGTATTGCGGTTGTCAACTTTAAAATTTAAATTTAATTAAAAATTTGATCTGTTTTGTTGATTTGAATAATTTATTTTGTAGAACTTGTTGGATACATTAGTCCTATTCTTGGGCCGAACTAGGAATAGCTTGTGACCTACCTGTAGCCGAGCTAGGCTTATTTTGCATTGACGATTTACTTAGCCCGGTCCATTAGCTGGGCATAACACTTTTTATTTCCACTTTATAGACTTTGACTAGGTTGGCCAGGCACACCCTTGCATTTCACCCTCGGACGATTTTTGCTCAACCGAGCCAACCAAGGTCACATTAGCGCCGAGCTAGGCCGCCGTGTACAATTTTAACTTAGCAATTTTAACTCAAAAAATTAAAAAATTAGAATTAAAATGTTAGAGCTCCCACAAAAGTTATAATTTAGAAACTCTCTTTTTCTTATATATATATATATATATATAGATGACCAAGACAATTTGTGATGTTTTAAAAAATTGATAAAAAGTTGACTTTTAACTTTTTTTAGGTAAAAAAATTAACTTTTTGAGTAGTGACTTGAATAAAAAAATAAACCTTTTTGAGTAAAAAAAATAAAAATTAACTTTTTACTATCTTACCAAAGCAAGCCAAATGATAAGTACTACCATTATATTGTTTTAAAAAGTCAACATAAAAATGATAAGTACTACCATTTTATTATTTTAAAAAATAATTAAAACATCACACATAGAGGTTTCGTTTGAAATATAAGATGTGAGTTAAAACAGTCAAAAATAAAATAAAATAAAATTGATTTTTAATTTAATAAAATAAAATATTACATTTAAATTATGATCTTTTAATTTTTTTTTTATAAAAATTATAAAATTTATATCAAACGAGACTTTTTAATTTTAGGTTAAAAAAATCAAAAAATTACAAAGTGAATCCCCGTCCAAAAGAAGGCAAAGATTTACTCTAAAATCATTGTATAATTTTTCCAATTTGAAAGGGATTAGGCGGCGGATCCCACTTTCTATTATTGCACGGTGGGGCCTACTTTGCTCCTCTCCATTTCTGCAGTCGTCAAAAAGATGCGTTTTCACGTCCGGCCAAAGGGCTTCCTTGCAATAAAAAGCATTTATATATTACATTTTAATGTAACTCACATTCATCATCACTTTCATTTCCCATAACTTTCTTTGCAAATTGGGGCCTACCCTATCATTTTTTGCAGTGCCCAATTGCCAAACAAAACTTGGATGATACGAACTCCCTTGAAATTCACTAATTAACCATCTAATTAATGGACTAATCTTATGGCATATCATATGAAAAAAATAAACAGCTTGCTTCCTATTTTTAGGATTCATTTTTAGAAAAATTAATTTTTTTTATTTTTATTGAATTTTTTTAATATTCAAAATAATTTTTTTAATTTCTAGATACACCTAACATAAATACACTTAAAAAGTATAATATTTATAAAAAAAATATTTAGAAAATTTACTAAATATCAAAAATACAAAATATATATATATATATATATATATATGTGAAAATTTAGTACATTTTTCATAATTTTGTGTATTTAATAATTTTTAAAAATATTTTTTCACAAATGTTTTACTATTTGGATACATTTAAGTAAGGTGCATCTTAAAAAATAAAAAAAAATGCTTAAAATTTTAAAATTATTCACAATAAAAAAAAAAGAAGCAAAAAACTCAATTTTTAAAAAATTGAAACCAAACTAACTGAATAATTTTATGCAACGGTGGTTTACTTTTGAGACAAAAATTTTGATCATAAAAATATAATAATTCATCACTAAATGTTGAATTTCGTCATGAAAAATACAACAATGATATTTTTTGTAATTAAAATATTTCATTTTTAAAAAATAATTTCGTTCATATATATATATTTATATATATATATATTATTTTCTTTTATGTTTTAGTCGATTTTAACAACAATCACGTTGAATACTGTGCGCGTGCAATGGAAAAACCTCGGTCGCTCCGATATGTTGGAACAGAAATCAGAGACAATCAATATGAAGATTTCTTTGTTGTGAATGAGATCATATTATCAATTATGCATAACACACCCTTCAAGCAAAGCAATGTAGGAGGTAAGTACTTCAAAGGCCATAGATGAAGAGCCATGTTATGCTAAAATCTTTGTTTTGGCCTTGGTGTTGTATTTTTTTTCTTTTTTTATTGAGT